AGTATATCTATAGGAATTTTTTGCTTTTTCTTTCTTTTTCCTTCAGTATATGGGGTCCTCTTCCATTTAGATATCCTGCTTACCCTTCTTGGCTGTGGGATACCCTTTGCTTCCACATTGCTCGTTAGAACTTCTACAAGTTTGTCCACATGTTGTTTAATATTCACAAGATCCTCTTCCTCCTGTGCTTCCAACCCCTCTAAAACTTTGCCATCAACCTGACTGTTATCTGCACCTTTGTTATCTACAATGACCTTTTCATGTTCAACATGATCCTCTTCCCTATCCATATGTTCCTCCTCCATATATACATTATCCTCAGCCTTACTATCTACATTCGCGTCAACCATACTATCTACATTCTCCCCTTCTCTATCAACATGCTCCTCCAACTTATCTGCATTCTCCTCTTCCTTATCTACAATATCCTCCTCCTTATCTACACCATCAGTAGGATCCTCATCAAAACTTTTGTTATCTACAATAAAATTTTCATGTTCAATATGCTCATCTTCCTTATCTACATGTTCCACCTCGAGATCTACACTATCCTCAACCTTACTATCTACATTCAGGTCAACATTACTATCTACATTCTCCCCTTTTGAAATAACATGCTCCTCTTCTATATCAACATCGTCAACAGGATGCTTCACATCCTCTTCAACAATCTTATGTACATGTTCTTGCATGGTGGGGTCTTCCTTATATACACTACTTGTTTTGGACCCCTGTTCCTCTTGAGCTACTCGTCGCTTCTTCCTCATTTCATTTGTAATTTTCTGTTGATATTCGCCTTCAGCACCACCGGGTCTATAACCTCATCATGTCTTCCAAAATCTTCAATTACCTGTTTAGCCTGTTGATCTCAATCATGAATTCTTTACAATATGTACTCTTGGTCTGCTTTGTGGCAACTAGTAGTCGTTTGAGAAATTCAGCAGAATTTCTCCAAAATGTAAGTTGCTGCTCAATGGGAAGAACATTATCTCCTCTTCCTCGTCAAAAGCAACGTCAATATGCTTTGTCATGATCTGTTATTATTAAGAGATTATAATTTAAAGTAGGATTACATATAATTAGGATATTGTTTGCAGTTAGTGTGAAATGAGTACGACTTAACATAACAGGATACTTACGTAGCGAAATGAGTACGACTTAACATAACAGGATACTTACGTAGCCTATTGAGAAGTTCTTAGTAGTTTCCTCCTGGATAGCCTTCCTCTTTGCCTGACGCTTATGATGCACAACTTCACCCCTCTGTACAACGAGAAGTGCATGAACATGACCTGGAGCAGGGCCCTTCACAATAGGCCTATGGACAAAAGTTATTAACGCTGACTTAGCCTTTGTCGTAATTGTCCCCACCCTCATAGATGGGACTTTCACCTCCTCTGGTGCTCAATTTATCATTGGAGGTCTGGAACTGTCTACGAGGGCATATTTCTTTATGCCGGTCATCTCGTAGTACCAAAGCTGTAGCAAATATATTTAGCATTTAAAATAATACTAGACTAGACCAAAGAGAGTAAAATATGGGTGTAGTTAGAATTGACATGGTGTAAATTAGGACTAACGACATAAATTAGAACAAACATAATCTATGTTAGAACCATCATGAGCCCAGGTAGAACTAACATGACCTATGTTAGAACTAACATGGGTGCAGCTAGAACTAACATAGTATATCTTAAAACTAACAAGGCATAAATTAGAATTCACACGACACAAATTAGAACTAACAAAATCTGCGACAGAACTAACATGGTGTAGATTAGAACTAACATAGTATAAATTAAAACTAACATGGCATAAGTTAGAACTAGAATGAACCAAGATAAGTAAAATATGGAACTTACACACAATAGTGTCATGCAACCTGGTACATATGTGACCTCTCGCTTCTTCTTTCCCTCCAAAGCAACTCCAATGCCCCTGATAATTTCATCATAAAAGAACCGGGCCCATGCAATAGAATGACCCTCTCAATGCTATCCAGGTACCTGAGTAAGGATCTAGGGATACCTTTCCCAGCTCTGGGGCTCCATATCATAAAGCATTGGTACAGGATTTGTAGCAGAACAAAATCCTGAATATCCCGCTTTTCTGTAGATTCCACTAGCCGTTCCAGTTACCCTTCGAGGTGTTTATGTTCGGTGGTTTCTGCTTTTTTTAACTTCTTACCCTCTTCAGAAATGAAAAGATTAGCGAGTATTTCACACATATTCTACTTCTTGAGTCCCGATTGATACTTATGACTTCCCCATAAATTGGGAAACAAGTATGGTTATGGACCATTACAAATCAAATTTAACATTTTTCACACAACCACATTTTGAATCAGGTATAGAAAATGTGTTATTATCACTGTGAAAATAGCTCAGTAGCAGTTCAAGTGTGGGCGGATCAGGCGCAGAAGCCCCAAATAAAATATAGTGCTCAAATATAGAACCGTCGTATGCATCCCTATGCCACTGACGAATCTTCGAGGCAATTCGGTTCATGAATTACCAATAGGCCCCGATATTGACAGTAAACCTTAATGATTCGGCCGCACCTGTAAGAGCAACTTTTTTCCTGCAAAAAGATTTCGAATTTGTAAGTTCAATAAGACCTATGAACTCATATTAGACCTAACACTAACGGGAATCTAATAGAACTAACGTGTGCTGTTATAGAACTAACATTGGACTCAATCTAGAACTAACATTGGACTCAAACTAGAACTAACATTGGACTCAAACTAGAACTCATATGGAATCAGACTAGAACTAACAATACTGTGGTAAAACCTAGCATTATTTAAGATGAACTGAAATTAGGAAAAATTAGGTCGAGTTCCTAAATACTGGATAACATAGCACTTACTGGTTTTTTTTTTTTTTTTTTTTTGGGGGGGGGGGGGGGGGTGCGGGGGGGGGGGGGTTTCG